CGTGGACCCGTACTTCCTCCTTAGTCTGGATTAGAGACCCCAGCTAAGCAGAACAGTTAGGAGGGCAGGCTGCCGACATTTGGCTACCCACGGTATTTCTACCATTAGTTTAGAATATAATATACTAATTATTTAAAATCAATACAATATTAAACACGCCATTTTTATAGCATATAATTCTATATAGAGCGTTCAATTCTCACACTTCACATGGGCTCTATAACCTTTCGAATTGGTCAGATGGCTGGAAACCGTGCGCTTGCTAACAGTGTTTAGTAGTGTGACGACACGAAACGTAGATCTCACCGAATTATTGTATCTACGAACCAAGTATAGTACCTCAGACAATTCTTTTTGTTCCTTCACTTACGATTTTGAATTGTCTGATTTACTAAACGAAACTAAATCATGTTTAGTGAATCTTACTATGAGAATAATCCTTCGTACGCCTTCCTTCGGAGGAGAAGTAAAGCCCGCTGTCCCATGTTAGTAGATTTACTTGCATGTAAAAGATCTTCTAGCCTAAATGACGCCTCTGAGGCAAATTCAAATCTCCTGTTTCTCGCCCAAGAAATACCTCCTTTATCTGCTAGTTGATGAAAGGAGCGTAGCAAAATTTGCGTGGTCAGACTGAAGAGCGGGCCTGATGGTCCGAGTCTTGCCACGTAAAATAATGCAAATTCAATTCAATCCAATTCAATTCAATAATTGTATTTACTACGTGATCGCTTACTAAATATTTTTAAAACATTCTACTACAACGTTTCTTTCAGTGTAGACAACAATTTGAGAAATTGACTTCTTCGCTATCCGGGTGACGCCGCGTCGTTGGTAGAGAAACCGACGTATCCACCCCCAGGAAGCCTGTGACATGACAGGCGAAACGTCGGCTTCTCAGCAACAACGCAGCGTCACCCGAACAGCCAAGCAGCCTTGAACTCGAGTCACGGAAGCTTACGTGTACATCTTGAGAAATTACCGGAGTAATGTTCTTCTTCTTCTTCTTCCTAAAAATAAAGTTTGTTTAGAGACGTTTTCAACGCATCTTTGGAAATTATTTCTAAGTATTTCAAAAACAATTTATTGTGTCACTTTTCAATGTTTAATGATAGACCTATACTCCAATGGCGGCGACGTAATGTATGGCAGTTGTACCTATTACTTTCTATAAGTTAAAACTATCCGTTACGACTATCCGACTTATCTTACGACAATATTTTGGTAGTGATGAGTAATCAACACGCGCCATAGAAATGGATGGTGTATTAGTATTGATTGTGGGATCATCAACTACTGATGTCATTATTTCCGTAAATGGAATGCATATTAGTATATTCCGGGAAGTGGTCTTGTTCTTCCCGCGCTAGAACTCGCCGACGTACATGTTGGTTTACGGATTTCCCCTTACAGGTATCGGCCCCATGCTTCGACACGCTTCGCGCTCCCGACATTTGTGATAGTGAAGTGCATGTAAGAACGGGGGAGTAGGAGAGACAGGAAATGCCCGGCGCAGTCCGTGGAGAATTTGATAAATGCTGCTTCAGCATTCGCCTGGCGTTGATCGAAGACACTATCGAAAAAATACCGATCAGAACAGCCGACGCTAGAATTCTCCACTAGATAGGGGCTGAATTTGATCGAGATACAACGAGCTAGTCGAAATTCCGCCACCGTTGCTACTCCAACTCTATTACCTTCCTCTTAACAATATTCCCAATCTCAGGGTGATTTAACGACTGATATAAAACTTATCAAAATAATGATAAACATCCGCGAACTTGGTAATGTCATGACCAACACTTAGAACAAACCTCTCAAGAATGTCTCCACAAGTTGTCTTTCTGATTGACGGAGCAATATCTGTACAAAAGTAATAGCACGTTATCATTATAAAATATCCTGAAAACGATCATCTTGCCAGCACCCAAATGCGGCTGAAAGGACAGTCTTCTACACCGTAGAAATATCAAAAGTCGCTGCCCTCCCTCTGGACCGACAGGAGGCAGAACAATTGCCAAGCTCTTCCTCATTCAGCGAATCGTAACCCACACATTGACCTTGACACCAAGCGTGTCCTTGAAGAAGCCCAACAGCCCTTGAGCCGGCGCTGACGTCGGTGTCCCGACGCGGAGAGGAACAAAATGCTTCGTTTACGCGGGGCAGCCACCGAGACCATCTTTCCCTTTCAGCGCTGCACGCCGTGCCTCTTCCCAGCGCCACACAGACTTGCCTAGCGGGGCCTTTAATTCGACGGACGAATTTTCGCCTTCTCCGCGCGCTATCAGGCACGACGTCACCCGTCACGTGGTTATAATGTGGATTGGAATGGTCCTAACAGATGCAGTGAACATCTCTGACTGTAATGATGTGAAACGGCTCGTATGTGTAACAAAAGGTAAAGCTTAAAAAACTGTTGAAGTTTTGTAACAAATGCCCAGAATTTCGAATTATTAACATTATTGAGGTATTTTCATATTCTCCGTAAGTTTCAATTTCATGAGAACTGGTTCCTTATTCCTAATTTTTCCTCATTTGCTGACTATATTCATTTTGCTTTACTTCCTCGTCTACTACGTACTTATGTAGTAAGGAGAACGTATTGTAATGCTGCAGTGGAAAGTAGCGATTTTTCGACGGAAATGCACATAATGTGGGTCCCCGTTATCGAAAAAGTGGATGTGTACACATGTAATCAGAAACAACGTTTTGTGTGGATAATTGATACCGAAAAATTTGTGTGCGGTAAAACGTCCGTCTGTGGTTAACGCTATCGCCTAAACCGTTCAGACAATTTTCTCCGAAATTTATATTCCCTGATTGATTTGGCCGAACTCGCGACCATGCGAATTTGAAACAGATATTTTAATTTTGGAGGTGCTTTACTTTTAGCCTTAACATGTTCAAGATTTTCTCAAAAATGACCACAAATTGTTTAATCCATTCTTCTTTTTTTTTGATAGAGCCTACGGTGCTTTAAAAAAAGGTGAAAGTTTATTTTTTGTTGAACTCTTTGAATATTCAAAAGCTGTGAACGTTTTCGGCATGTTAGTCTAACTACGGTATTGAATAAATATATTTTTTCTTAATAAAATGTTGTTTTAACAGATGTTGAAATAAGGACCAGTACAAGTATTTAGTTTATGGTCTTATTTAAAAAACATCTACTTTTTTGTTATCGCGTAATTTTTGCTTGAAGTGAAAGCTTTTTTTTTTAAGAAATCGCAAAAACGGCTGCATTTTTTTCTCTCGAATAGAGCAATGTACTTATAAAGTGGCACACCTTCTATTTTGGTTTAACTCTGAATTTTCGAATATTGCAAAAGTTATGTATAATACGAGAAAGTATGTGTTGCTGTAGCACCACTAGTTTTATTTTGCCTCTGATATCTTACAGTATTTCCAAAATTACAGTAGCGATTGTAATAGCCGTAATTGAATGCACGGCAGGTATGTGTGATAAATGGAAAAAGAAAACACGAAGTAATGTTGAGGTAGGTCACCGTGATCTAGTTGTAACAAGTTCCTAGATCCGTGATCTTGGAACACCTTTCGAAAGGCTACTAGAAAGACCACAAACATGTTCAGTATAATCTCAGCCAGCGTACAGTGTGCACGCCCAACAACGTCTGATTTATTTGGCAATGCCATGATATGAAAGCGAAAAGAAGCGAATCTAACCTTTTCATTTGATAGGAAAGTATTCCTTGCTTACTAGCCATGTCTCTCGCCCTCAACTTATGCTTAAAATATGCCCCTATAAATGTACCGTAGTATGGGAGTTCGGAAAGGAATGGAAAATGGTGACTGATCATATACCCCGTAAATGTAATATTTTCCACGCGTATTTACTTTAACAGTTCCTAATTATTATTTATTGGAAAACAAGTGCGCCTACGTGTATGCTATAGGTATTACTGAAACAGGAAGCATTTACGGAAACATTTTGTAAGAAATATTATATTGTAGAACTTTACATGTTTTTGTAAATGAGTGACGGTTCTCGGTTCGAAGAAACAATTTAGAAGAAAGATTTCGATTTATTTTCGGAGCTCTCATTCCTACAAAGAGAAAAACCCTTTCTACAGCACACTAAAGCAATCGGAGATTTTGAAGATATATCATACCTGAAAAACATTATAAACTGTATAGGTGTTGTGGTGTGATATCTTTGGCATTTTTCATAAAATAATTAAAGACGTTGTCATTGCCAACAATATTATTTAATGCAAGAGCAGCTTTCGATGATGATGATGACTAAGCCATCGATAGCTGCTCTTGCATTAAATAATATTGTTGGCAATGACAACGTCTTTAATTATTTTATTATAAACTTTGCTTAATTTTTACTTTTCCTCGAAGTGCATTTCTAACCCTCATATCTTTAGCTCCACATTTTCCTTGGCATTCTAATGTCTCTTAAAGGCATTCCCTTACGGTTTTCGTAGCTATGTATGGGATACTTTCCACGTGCTACCTCTCTGATTCTTAGTGTCCGTGTGTCAATGTCAGTAATGTCTAATTATTTTCTAATATTCGCAACCTTATTTCATCTTTTCTTGTACATGTCTTAACTTGCATGGGAAAATGAATTTCTACCGCTTGGATTTGACTTTTATCTGAATCTTTCCTTATGAACGATTTACTGGTCTTCGAGAGAACCGTGCAAGCTTGGCCTTGTGAAATGGTTTTCATGCAATTTTTTCCCTGTTAATCGTGTTAACCTTCCGAATTCTGTAACTGTGTAGTCTATTTCTAACCACTAGAAGAGCATTCAGCTTCCATTCTCTAATTCGTATATCAAAGCAGGGTTAGGAACTTCTGACTTCCTCGTGCACGTGCCGTAGTAACACGCTGTTGTCGGAAGCCCTTGTGGCCGTGTGACACGCATTGCCTCCTCGTGTTGGCTACGCCCGGGCCCACTTGTGTAACGGTCGCGAAATCTTCTAAGTGGCGGTCGTGCTCATTTCACTGGCACTTCAGCAATTTCCCCGGAATCCGTAATGACAGTTCAGGTTCCGCTAGGTGGCGCGCTGCCTCGAGGCAGCATGCGAGGCTCATCAGCGCGGAGGGGGAAGGCTGTGAGGAATTGGAGTGATCAATTTTAACGAACTTCTCACTCACGTTGTATTTCGTTTTTTTCTTTCTTTTTCGTCTTCTTCTTTTGATCTCTTGCTCTCACGTTCCTATTTGGTGATTTCGTTCAACTTGTGCCGGATGGATGAACTGGCGCGGAGCTGGATTTTCGATTGAAGAAGCAGGAGATTGCAATATTAACGCAGTTTAGGAGAAGACTGACCATTAAAATAATTATACTATGGAATAATATAAGTAGTATCGCGAGAGATTATGAAATTGTCTATGTATTAGGTAAACAAAATAAAGGGTAAATAATACGCGGTTCAACTACTAGATTAAAATAATAAAGGACGTAGTCTTATTTTATTATGGAAAGAGAAATATATGCACGGAATTGTGACTACGGGAATAAAAAATTGATCGTTTTTTGCCGCTAAACGTCAGTGTTTTGTTATACGTAGTGTATGTGGAATATTGACTCTTTCCTTTGGCTAATTCATGAGGGAAGTAGTACCTATAATGCATTCAGAGTTAATGTTTATTTCGTCTATTACTGCTTCTTGCACGTATAACAGTATATATTTGATCAATATGTTCATTCGATTTTTCTTCCAATTTAGTTTCGAAATTCTTGAGGAACGAAGCTAAAATAAGCCTAAGAAATACGAGCAATTACTTACTACGTTAAAATTACTACTACTACGTTTATACGAAATGTTGTTTATCACAGTTGACCGGGATTCATTGTTGCATCTAGCGTTGGAATGTGGATTGTATCTCTAAACCACGACAGTGTAGAGCCTCCTTTATGATGGGAAGGATACAAGCTTGCCTCTCGACCAAATGAAATTCCTAGAGACCTGCTGTTGGGTGGTTCGAACGTTGCACTCACCTAACAATGTTTGGGCATGTGTGATCGATAGTAAATATTTTCCCAATATGTTGACTACCTTGACCTCTACAGCAACTTTGGAACTTAAATGATAACGCGTAGTTCTAATTCAAACTTGTAAAAATGCATGCCAACTGTAGAAGATTTGTGGTACATACGCAAAAATATGTTATCATATTGCACAAATTGGATCTTCCTGATGGTTTGTGTTAGGAGTTTCTGAGCACTTATGCTGCGATTTTATCCAATCCACTTTTATTTGAAATTCGTTTTCCTACCAAACTAAAACAAATAGAAGAAAGGTACGTTTTGCATGAAATATTTTCGGATGCCGCCACGAAAACGGGTTTTCTTTGTGTGCATCATAATTATGCCTAGTATTCTATGTGTAATTAAAATATGGATACGTTTTTTGATCCTGTTATCGGTTTCACAAAGCAGTCGGTTTGTATATTAATGCTTTCGGCCCGACAAAATACGTTGTAGGAAATATTTATGTATTTTTACAAAGCAAGAAAAGCTGTATGTGAAGGCAAAAAAGTCTTTCGAAACGGGCGACGTTTAGCAATACTAATTTTTGAATCCTTTTTGACGGCTCTGTTCAGTGCGTCATCACAACGCTAAAGATGAAGGTTTGCGTCGAGTGTACTCTGGTCGTCCAGCATTTGAGGGCCTTCCGGTGCTGTGTTGCAGGGCGAGCGGGTGTCCTGGGAGTATCAGCACGTGACGTTGACACGGGTGCCGGGCTACGGCTTTGGCATCGCCGTCAGCGGTGGCCGGGACAACCCTCACTTCTCCAATGGGGACCCTGCCATCGCCATCTCGGACGTCCTCAAGGCGGGGCCTGCGGAAGGAAAGCTAATGTAAGCATTTATTTATTTATTTATTTATCTCTTTCGTCTTATTCTTATTCTTCGTCTTTGTTGTCGCCTCTGTCTAAGGCTTGATGTTCGTCTACTTCAAGTTTCAAGTCTATTCAGTAGTCACACGGACAGCCACAACACAACCAATCAACAATACAACACCATAAAATATTACCACATATAAACTACATCATGAAGAATATATTGCACTCTATTATATGAACAGTCTAGAAATATAATATTTTATAAACTGGATATATCTTTAATTTGGATTTATATATTTTGAGATTTTCTAAATTCATAATATCAGGTAGTAATTTTTTAAGAATTAACCTAGTAACGTTATTGATAGGAGATTATATTTTCTAAGCTGTTCTGTAATGAAATGCATTTATGTTCGTTCTACCTTTAGTTTCATGTTTGTGTGCACAGGGGCGTAGCTAGGCGAGTGCAACAGGTGCACCGCACCGGGACTCCCTAATTCAGGGGCTCCGAATAAGGTTTCTTGTCTACCCTCAACAAAGGGTTCCTGTTCAAAATGATTTCGATTTTTTTCAGTGTTAAAATATTTTGTTACAAATTACATGTTAACCGAATATTTAATTAAGGTTATTCCTTAATAAGAACGAATACGGTTGCTGTGAGAGACAAATACTACAGGTTGCACCGTGCTTAGCTTGCACAATCCCCAGATAATCGAAAAAAATATTATAAGTTAGGAATGTTCATTTTCCTTTTAATGACATTCACAATTCAAATTGATTCATTGGTGATTCCTGGCGCGTCAGCTGCTTGGATTATTAGTCCCGTAAGTGTAGTGTATGCGTTTTCGTCGAGAGGTGACGGTGATCTCCCGCTGGATGGCGAGATCCCATCTCCACCAGCTGGGTACTGCCCCCAGTGAGACAATCTCTAAGCTCCCGACTGATCACCCGACATGTGTGCTAGTCTAGTGCATGTGATTGTAGGTCTGTAAAGTTAGTATAGCAAAGTTTTTTAAAATAATGTTGATATTAAACTCAAAAAATTTGTGACTCTTTTGTTACTAATTTTTTACACAAAACAATGTCGCTCTTCATTTGACCCTCCTATTAAACATTCGGCTAACTTGACATCAAGTTCGCATCGCAATGACGAGAAAACCAAAAAATACGGAGATAAATAATAATTACGCGAGAATTTTCGTTTTTTGTTTGCTCAATAGTTCCTAAAACAAATTTTGGGAATGGTAGCTCCGGGAGAAATTTTAAGCTCCCGACATGTGTGGTAGTATAGTGCATGTATCTGTAAGTAAGGGGATAGGACAAGGAAGAGAAAGGAAAGATCGCGCGCAGTCCGTGGCCCGTTTGCTAGGTTACTGCTCCGGCGTCCGCCTGGTTATAATCAGAGAAACAACGGAAAACTACCGATCAGTGCAGCCGGTCGCTAGAATTCTCCTCCAGACAACGACTGAATTCGACTTGGCTATCTAGGTAGTGTCGAAAATCCACTGTTGGGACTCCATCCTAGGACCTCCCGGTTAGAAGCACTGCAGTGAAATCAGTTGATGTCCTGAGGTTGATGCTCTCGTGGTTTCAGTATTCAAGATATTGAAGCAATATGGATCTTTATGAAATTACCTTGAAAGCAAAGAGAGCCCAACAAGGTGCTCTCTCTGGTGCAGCGTCAGCTGCGATCTCCCGGGCATTCACAAGAAACTTTTTTATTTTGCATCATAGTTGCCTGAAGATGATGCCAAAAGAGCCTTGAAACGCACGAATGAAAAAGTCTAAATAAAAGATTATTTTAAATCTAGACTTGTTTGTTTGACTCGAATACACAGCGACCTTAAAATCAATAAATAAACATATGAAAGGCCATTTTCTTCCCTTCCATAACATCTAAAACTATTCTTTTAGTAAATGATGAAAACTGGATTTCTTGAAATTGGGGCAGGTGGTTGGCACTGTTCACTCTTGCAAGAATACTTTTTAGTGTTGATGGAATGTTCTTCATATAAAACGAATGCACATTCGTGAGGATTGCATTCCTCACGAAGTCGTCGTATTTTGATTCCCTGCTACTGACATGAATGCATCCCCTTTTACTCTTTTTATTCGGAGTTGTAATTTAACCACTTGCAAAAACTTTGTTGAATTTACACCGACTTCTGCCTCTGTTTTGTCCACAATCCAAAGCACTGGTTTTCCTGCATTCTTCCCTTTTGAATAGTTGTAAACATTAATAACCATTTCTTTTCCCCACTATTGAGCACTTTACCGTGCTTGCCTTTTACGGATGGTAGATCACACATTATAAATTAGTTTTGTGAAGAAAAGGAAATTGAATTTAAAAAATTGTAAATTAATAAATTTACCACAACCTGAAAATCAAAATGAATAAAAGTAAACAAAATTGCATTTAACTTTGACGCAATTAAAACCACAATATAAATGAAATTTACAACAACGAAACAAAGGCGAACGAACACAGGTAAAGAACTGGATCACGTACTTCGTAAACACACTATAATGTGGGGTGTTTCAGAAGAGTTCGTGAGGCTCTTCACTTCCTAAACCTTCGACGGGCCATAGTTCAAAATCAGCCGCTTTCTGGAGGAGATTTCGAGCGGCCGGCTGCTCTGATCGGTTGATTTCCTTGGCTTCTCCGATCACTACCTCCATAAACACTGGAGCAGTAACTTTACAAACGGGCCACAGATTGCGCGCGATCTTTCCTTCCTCCTCCTTGTCCTATCCTCACCTCTTACTTACACACACACACACACACACACACACATGCGCTACACTATTACATTTATCGGGAGATCAGTCGGGAGCCTAGAGCTTGTCTTTGCTGGGGCGGTGCGCCGCTATTAGAAGATCCCTGGTTTGGGAAAATTCCCACAAGCCAATGTAGGTCGGCGCGTGATATCGCCATCCAGCGGGGCAAAGATTACTGCCACCTCCCGCGATGAAAAAAAAAAGCGCTACACTTATGGGACTAACGATCTTGGCAGATGACGCGCCCGGAAACACTCATCAATCAGTCAATCGAATTTCTTCACGTCCCTGACCACCTTGTAATGGAGTGTGGGGCCCAGAACTGATCAAGGTTCTTGTAGGTACGTCATACAGGGATGTTGCACACTTGCGTAATCTGGAAATGCTAAGAGAACTTCTTGCTGTAGTACGATGTTACTAATCGCCTTGATGAATGATTTAGGTGATAATAAAAATGATATTTTACAAAAGTAATTATTTTAAATTAATTTTTCATTATTATTTACATACGTTTAAAATAGTCAAAAAACCTCTCTGAAAGACTACGCATCTCAAGGGCGGATTTTTCTTTGAAACGGACACTGAAACACATATGTTCTATGCAATTATACCTCCCGACCAGCCCTTTAGTAGCAATTATCTTAATTTATCCCATTCAAGAGACCACTTTCAGAAAAATAGTATTTCAGTATTTCCCCCCCCCCCCCCCCC